GCCACAAGCATAAATCGTCTGCAACTGCTCAACATACTGATCCCTCTGCTTCTACTTCTCAGGCTTCAGTTGGTGGGGAGCAAGATAACCTGCGGGATTCAGACCTGTCTGATGACGAGGTGGTCACCCCGGATGCCCCGACCTTTGCCGGATTATTCAAAACCAATTGCTTTAAGTCCCTTCTACTTAAGGCCATTAAAGCTGCTAACTTACCATCTTCTGCTTCAGCTTCTACTTCACAGGAAAAACCATCAGAACCGGCTACAACTGAGGGTCTCAATACCCCATTCACCAAACCTACTGTGGAAAAGGAGGTGATCCCTGTTCCCAAGATCTTCCTGAATGTGATCCAGAAGCAGTGGGAGTCCCCAAGCTCGGGTCCACAGCCAACCAACCTAGACAAACTCACCAAATTCTTTGAGACTCCCCCAGTGGACGCACCAGTTGCAGCCCTGTCATCCCCTACTGTGGTCTCTGGAGCCCCTGAAGAAGTCCTCAAGCCTGAGGAGAAAAGGTCAGACCAAACCTTAGTCAAAAACTATCAGTCTGGGGCCTGGGCTGTTAGGGCTTCCACTGCCACTTCCTTTTTCTCTAGAGCAGCTCTAGTCTGGATTTAACAACTTCAGGAGCGCATTTCTCCTACTGACACTAGATCACATAGGGACCTCAACAAGATTAGGGCAGACGTTGAATTTGCGGCTGATTCTTCTCTCAATGCTACCAGGTTCGCTTCTAATGTCATGGCCTCTTTCTCTGCACACCATCCTGCAGGGAGTCAGAAAAGGCGACTTCCTCACGTCGGTGGACTTGACCGAAGCTTACCTTCATATTCCCATCTTCATAGACCACCAAAAATATCTCTGTTTCTCTAATGGGGGAGGCACTTCCAGTACCGAGCTCTTCCGTTCGGACTGTCTTCAGCCCCCAGAATATTCACAAAGGTTGCTGGCTGCCCTAGCCGCCCACATCAGGTCATCTCCAGTTCAGATTCTCTGTTACCTGGACGACATTCTCTTGTTGTCCAGGTCTCCAGTTCAAGCAGAAATGGATTTCGCCCTCACCATTCACACCGTGCGGAATCACGGGTTTGGGGTGAATATCAAGAAGAATCACCTCGTTTCCAGCACACGCATTCTCCACCTCGGGGTCTTGATAGACACCATGGTGGAGAGGGTGTTTCTGTCCAACGACCACATACTTAGTCTGAAGGAGCTTGTCAGGAAGGTGCTGCACCTACGCAAGGCATCCCTTCTTCTCTCCCAAGTCTTGGGCAAGATGGTGTCTTCTTCGGGGTTTTTCCCGGTTCCACAGCAGGCCCCTTCAATGATTCATGCTTCCACATCAAAAGGCCGACAGGAGCTCTGGGTTCCTCTCTGGGTTCCTCTTCCCAGCCAGATCTTACAATCCCTCAAATGGTGGCAGTCCCCAGCGATGTTGCAAGGGACCTTGTTTAGGGATCTGTGTCGTCTAACACTTACGATGGACGCAACTCTGATGGGGTGGGGGGCACAAATGCAGGACCTAGTGGCTCAGAGTCAGTGGTCCTTTGAAGAGAGGCAAAACAGCATAAATTGGCTAGAGTTACGGGCAGTTTGCTTCGCCTTCAAACAATTCCAACACAGGGTTCAGGACTGCCACATACTAATCCTAACAAACAACACCACGACCAAGGCACACATAAACAGGCAGTGGGGAACATGTTCCTGGCCTCTGATGCAGGAGTCCAACCTGTTGTGCCGGTAGGCGGAATCTCACCTGTCATCTCTCAGGGCAGAGCACATCTCAGGGGCCTCCAACGTCCAGGCAGACTAGATAGATCAGGCAGAGTGGAGCATCCATCCAAACCTCTTCCATTGACTGATACTACGATTCGGTCTCCCAGTCCTAGACCTATTTGCGACGGCAGACAACAACCAGGTACCCAGGTATTACTCATGGTTTGTGGATCCCATGGCAGAAGAAGTAGACGCCCTCAGGTGCCAGTGGCCCAAGGGTCTCCTGTACGTGTTTCTGCCCTGTCCCCTTATTCAGAGAGTAATTCGGAAAATGTTGGAGCAGGAGCCAGAACTATTGCTACTAGCGCCGAAGTGGCCAAACCAGCCTTGTTATGCCGCCCTAGTGACTCTTTCAATCTCCACTCCATGGCACATTCCACATTCTCTCCTGTCTCTACACCAAGGGTCTGTTTGTCACCCCAACCACCAGTAGCTACAATTAACCGCATGGCGATTGAGCGGCAAGCTTAACAGCTTATAACACCTCCCTCAACGTCATTGTTACCATTCAAGCATCACACAGAAGCTCTACTAACCGCATTTATGATGCCACTTGGAGGGCATTTGCACTGTGGTGTACCAACCAGACTGTTGACCCACTTAAAGCGTCCATTCCACAGATATTGGACTTCTTACAGAGGGGACTTGATCAGGGCCTTACCCCTAATATGTTACGTTGACAGGTGGCTGCATTGGCTCCTATCCTAGACGGTCTGGCCTCCAAACATCTACCTTCTCATCCTTTGATCCGGAGATTTCTCCTTGGAGCATCCAACCTGCGTCCCCCTACCATCCATAGGTATTCGACTTGGGACTTACTTCGTGTCCTAGAAACTTTGACTTCCTCGCCCTTTGAACCTATGAGATCCACTTCTTTGAAACTGTTGTCCTTTAAGACGTTGTTTTTGGTGGCTATCACATCTGCCAGAAGGATTTCTGATTTGGCTGCCCTTTCAGTCAGGCATGAGTTGTGCGTGTTCCATCCAGACCGAGTTGTCTTAAAACTGGACCCAACATTCATACTGAAGGTGAATAATTGCTTCCACAGAGGTCAAGAGTTAACCTTACCTGACTTCTGTCCATCTTCCCATCATGAGTGGGAACGTAAGTGGCACACTCTTGACATACGTCGGGCCCTCAAGATCTACATCGACAGCACTGCTTAGTTCCGCCACTCGGAAACTCTTCATATTCTTTCGCCAGGCTTCCTTGGGTAACAAGGCTTCATCGTTGAGTCTGGGGCAGTGGATCAGGGCCTGTATTAAGCTGTCTTATGAACTTCAGTCCTTGCAGGTTCCTATAAACATTGCAGCTCATTCTATATGCAGTGCTGCGACATCTGCTGCTTGGTCCACGCAAGCCACGTTGGAAGAAGTCTGCTGGGCAGCCACATGGGCATCTCCCACGGTCTTCATATGTCATTACAAGATGGACAATTATGTGTCGGCTGACACGGCTTTCGGGCACAGGGTACTGCAACAAGTGCTTAACGGACTTTCTTTAGTATTCCCACCCTAGTGGACAGCCCAGTCTTTGGTATGTCCCAGTCTGGCTGCTGTCTCCACGATCACAGGAGAATGGGTGTTGGTTCTTACCTGATACGCTCATTCTCTGTTGAAGTGGAGACAGCAGCCAGCCCCACCCTGGGGTGCGTCACGCAATGGAACTTTTTTGTGCAGAGGAGAGAGAAACAAACTATGGACTTGATACATGGACGTTTTTTTCTCACAATTCTCACTTGAGTCTACAGTTTTCCTTTGTCTGAACTGGGGAGGAGCCACAAGGCCCGATGACATCACAAGTGTAGACTCAGTCCAATTGGTTACTGGACAGAGCAAATCCAGTCTGGCTGCTGTCTCCACTTCAACAGAGAATGAACATATCAGGTAGGAACCAACGGCCATTCTCTGTGGCAGTGCCTTTAGAGATCTAGATGGCGCACACTCTGCTGCTAGTTAGAAGAGCTATGAAGACCTGGTTCTTCACCCTGGTGAGAGAGAATGAGGACCTTGCTTTGTTCCATACAGTCTGTCATTCTTGCCATCTTCTATGTGTTATTGTAATTTCTTTGACAGAATCATTGGGAGTTGGGCTGCATACAAGTTTAATATATAATAATTGTTGTTGTTGTTGTTGTTGTTAGTTGCACAGACGTGTCCGACCCATCGCGATCTTATGGACAATGTTTCTCCAGGCCTTCCTATCCTCTACCATCCTCTGGAGTCCATTTAAGCTCATACCTACTGCTTCAATGACTCCATCCAGCCACCTCATTTCCTGTTGTCCCCTTCTTGTTTTGCCCTCAATCTTTCCCAGCATCAGGCTCTTCTCCAGTGAGTCTTTCCTTCTCATTAGGTGGCCAAAGTATTTGAGTTTCATCTTCAGGATCTGGTCTTCTAAAGAGCAGTCAGGGTTGATCTCCTCTAGGACTGACAGGCTTGATCGCCTGGCAGTCCAAGGGACTCGCAGAAGTCTTCTCCAGCACCATAATTCAATTCTTTGGCACTTAGCCTTTCTTATGGTCCAACTTTCATAGCCATACATTGCAACTGGGAAAACATTAATAATAATCAATGGTCAATCAACAACAATAATAAAATATTCATTTTTATAAATAAATAATACATTAATATAAATGTAATATAATTATTTATTAAAGTTGTATGTTATCTAACTCCCAGTGACTTTCAATAATATAATTTATTGTATAATATATCTGGGTACTTATCTGGAAACCAGGAGACTGTAAGTTATAGTTCCATCTTAGGCATGAAAGCCTGCTAGGTTGGCTTGGGCAGTTACTCTGCTTCCACCCAATACACGCCGGGGCCGTTCCAACCATACCGGTTGTTATGGAATCCGGAACCCACCACTGGCTAAAGTCTACATATCTTAAAGTTGCCAAATTTGAAAAACGCTGCTGTTGTCCAAATGGTTTAGTTTACAACTTAAATATATTGTCCTATAAGTCAATGCTTAATAATGGGACCTATAAATTGCTTGGTAAATAATCTCCAATAACAGGGCTGTTTTTGGAATGGATTTTTGTTGTGCTTTGTTATTGGTCCTATTCAGTCGCTAAGTCATGTCTGACTTTTCACGACCCCATGGACCAGAGCACACCAGGCCTTTGTGCTTTGCAGAGGTTGTTTTATAGATTTATTTGCACTTCATGAGATTTGAAGTGTGTCTTAAACCTTTCCACTTGTGTCTTTGAATTGACAGGGATGCCCTTAAGCTTTTAGAGCAGAAGCAAAAGCCTGTGGAAGCAAAACCCATGGTTTCTTCAGTCCCCCTACGCCAAGCTGGAATGCCTTTGTCTACACCATCAGCAAGTGTGCCCATTAGTGCTTCACGTCCTCCAGTTACCCCTGTCTCTGTTCCTGGCCGGCCAGCTTCCATGGTATTAACTTTCTCAGATTTATAGCTACGCTAAGATCACTGTATCACATTATATAAGCATAAATGATAGAGTTATACCAGTAGGATTTTAGAATTCAATTTAGAGTTTTATTTATTTGTGCAACTTAAGGACACGCCGATCTGTTACGATTCTGCATGGACTTCAGTGAGAATTGTAATGAATATTTATATGTGCCTTATAGTTTATATGCCCATGTAGAATGTTCATTTTGATTTAAGAACTCTATAATTGGCAACATAGTTATTTAGAAAACATTAGGTATTAAAGCCCAGTTTTTCCACCACTAAACATTATGGTTTAAATGATGTCCTTTATTGTCATGATCCTATTCCACTGAAATCATCTTTCTTCCTTTAATTTAATATGTAAAATGTGTTTTATTGCAAGAACCCGTTCACTGAAATCCCTGCTAGCGACACAAGAAGAGTTATTGCTAAGAAACTAACAGAATCAAAGACCACGGTACCTCATGCATATGCATCGGCTGACTGTGACCTTGGTGCTATATTAAATCTAACACAAGAGCTGGCAAAAGGTAAAACTCCTTCCTATTTTGTAAACCCAAATATTAAAATTCTGATCTGTCTACTCAGCTATGCTGCATTTACTGCAGGGGCTTTTCTGAAAAGAAACAAAATGCCTGTCAAAATTCTGCCTTTGATCTTAGATGCAGATGAGTATTTTTGTTTGCATGTGTGACATCCCTTGCAATCCAACATTTAGCATGGATAGTTGGTAATTGGTTTTGATGACAACTGTCCTGCTCTTATTGTCACAGAGGATTTTTACTTAATTAATTAATTTTTTTGCTTAAGAGTATTAAGCAATTGTAGCCTACCCACAAAAAGAATCTGCGAATTCCACTATAAACCTATTCATGTGAATGGTTTTACATTTTGAATGAAGCATTTGAAGGTTACCGCTTAATTAGCAGCCTTAGGAGGTGCAGACGGCAAATTCCTTCATTAGTATTCTAAACAGGTATGGTTATTTAAATGATGATGCTTTTCCACTTCAGCCAGCCCTAATGTGCTTTATGTTTGTTATTTGAATACTTTTTACTCAATAACACTGCAACTGAGGATGGGGTGAGGAAGACAGAATTCCAGTTTTGCCAACAAGAGATTTCTGTTGCTACTTATTGCTTTGCATAGAGTTTTGAATCTGTGTGCCATATTTTTTCCTTAATCCTGGTAAGCTATACACATTACAACAATTTGGAAAGATACCAAATATTCCGGGTTAATTGTTGGTTATATTTTTTGATAATTTAGATTTTTCTTTAAACATATATGGAAAAGTTCATACATAATGAACTTATACAGTATCCTATAGAACAGACACTGTTCTTGTTTGAATTATTGGTTTGGAGGAATTTCAACTAGTTTCAAAATATAATTGCATTAAATTTAGAACCAGAAAAACCCCAGACTATCTACTGTTTTCAGAGCTTCAATTAGCTTTGCTTCTTTCCACATCATTATTCTTTGTCTAAGTATGATAGGTTTGCATTAAAAAAGGTGATAATCATTCATTAAGATATACTGCAAGTATTGTCATGTATATTTATTTTTTAAAATATCTATTTTTCTTTGTATGATATGATATAAAAATTTCCCTCAGTTTCAAAAGTATTTTACCATGCTAATGTAACATTTAAAAGAGAGAGTTTGTTTAAAACCACTTTCTTATATTGGACTAATTAGCAACAAAAGCAGAATAAAAACGGTATTAACAATATGATAATGCAAACTAGAAACTAAGTGATTAAGTTATAAAGAGAACATTCAGAATGCTTGCTGTAATGCTCAAAATTCCTTGCCTCTTTCCTTGTCTCTTTCAAAGATTGACAGCCAACAATCTACATTTGCATTTAACATGTATAATTGTATAATTCTTTTATCCAGTCCCTATGCGCCAAATATATACTGTACATCTTGAAACCTTGATAATGTTCAAGCATTGGGAAAAAGCCAGGAAAAACATATGCCTCTTTAATGCATAGCTGTCATCCAAAGTCATATTCACAACTGAATTGGTCTAAATCCAAAATGTGACATTAATGGGATAGTCCAAACCCTACTAGTTAATATTCCAACTCATGAGTTTCATCTTAGCAAGGCAGTTGCTCTGTTATTTATTATTCTCTGAGGTTTGAATAATATTTTTATTGTTGTAATGACCTCCTTTAAGATCACAGTGAATTGTATATCGTATTATTTAAAGCAACCTTCCTCTAGTTTCAGTGAAAAGGAAATTCATCTCATTTGATAAAATGAACTGTGGCTAATAAAAGAGCTTTTTAATAAAATAAAAAAATCTTACTTTTACTGCCATACTCCTTCTTATATGTTGCATTGGCAGCTAGTAAATTGGGTAGGGCCAGTTTGAAGTCAGGTGGGACTGAAATAAAATCAAATAATATCAGTTTCATCAATTTCCTATTAAGAGAAAGGCTGTTGGCTTAGGAACTATGATTGATTCTTCCATAACTTCCATCAATTATGGAGTTTCCAGAAGTAGCAATAACATCTGGACCTCATAGACTGTATAATAAATGCTTGAGCTGAATAAAATGCCAAGAAGCATTCTGCAGGAAAACTAATTTATTTTTTTTCATTTTGCAAAAGTTGTTTAAATGCCCAGTTAATCTAAAATAATAGTACTATCAGAGGCCCAGTTTACCAAAAGATAGATTGACCTGCATTTTCAAAACTGGGAAATCCCAAAATAAAACATTTTAGTGATATTAAGGATAGGCTGTTTCTTAGAATTTCACTGTGATCAAATAATAATTATTTTGCTGAGAATAGATGAATACGTAAGTTCTTGATTTCATTTAGTGATCAAAGCTTGGATTACTGCCTAGCGATAAGCCTGAAAGTGTGAGAACTTAAAACCACATACTATATCAGTCCATAAAGCATAACATATTATCTGCATGTGGTAGAATATAATTCTCCAATTCTTTCATAGTTCCACTTTTCAGTTTTTCAAACAGTAACAAGCAAAAGAGAAAAAAGAAAAAAATCTGAACAAACTAGGCATATCAACTGTTCATCAAGTATTGATATATGAAACTTTCCAATTAAAAAAAGCTAATGTTAAGTATCATTAATTGAGTGTCAGTTCCATTTTGATTGGTGTGCCTTATCTATTTGTTGTATATAGTTTGGATCATGTGCTTGACTGAGTGGTAGATCATATACAGATCTATTGATCTGTCAAAGGGACCGCTAATGTTCAAAGTCACTAAAAAGTTGATTGGTCACAAGAGACCTTCAATCACTAGCCAACTCCTGCATTCAAAACCTATGCAGACTACAAATACACTTCTGAATTTTGCACCGAAAAAGACTCGATGGGACATGGAATCAAATATCTGCAAAAACCTTTCAATACAGTAGAAGAGTTGGAAGGGACCTTGGAGGTCTTCTAGTCCAACCCCCTGCCTAGGCAGGAAACCCTATACCATTTCAGACAAAGGGCTATCCAACATCATCTTAAAGACTTCCAGTGTTGGGACATTCACAACTTCTGGAGGCAAGCTGTTCCACTGATTAATTGTTCTAACTGTCAACCCCTGATCAATATATTGGCATTGATCTCCCAAAGCCCAGAGAATCCAACCAACAAGATGTACAGTTTTAAGTCAATCGACAATTTCTGGTATTTAAAACAGAAATAACATTGACCCAGTTTTTCTTGTAAAGGTACTCATTTATTTGAACCCAGCCATTATACTGAATTGTTGACTTTTGTACATTCAAATATTAATCACCTGTATTTGTGGTTGCAGCATCATTTTAAGATAGTAAGAGTTTCTATAGTGAAGAAGTATGTTAACAATAATACAATGCTACATGCTGTAAAATGATTGTGTAATATAGAAAAAGGGATCAATGGCTGATCTCTATTCAGCAAAAGAAAATAAACTTATTACTGTCTCAAAATTTAGAACTACCAAGAACCAGTGTGCATCATCAAGCTAACTATTAACCAAGAAGAAATGGTTTTATGATAGTTAAATCTTTTACACTTTGCAGCTTGCAGTAAAGTTCCTTTCTACTCTCTGTTACCGTTAACCCGATTTCAAGGATTTGTCTTGGCTTTATGTCATTTAAATTGCAGTAGCCCCAAGGGCATCACAGACTGAGATGTCACCTACTTATGACTGAACAGATATAAAACAATCATTTTGATTTTTCCACTTCATGCCTGACAGGATTTATAGTGCCTCTTTCGGAGTTTATTTTCAGACTTAAGAATAGATTTTGAAACAATGGTAGATTGATACATGAATGTTACAAATTATAAAAAGTTGTAATGCATATTTTTCATTCACTAATTACTTGCTTGCTTTGTTTCTCTTCTTAAAATTATGAATTATAACAATAATTTATGAATGACAGTATGAATCATATCCTAATGTTGCTAAAAATACTGACTTTAGCTAATTATGCAGATCTGCACAATATAGTTTTATTAATTTATGTTCAATTATGTGCAATTATTATGAAGTTTCAATCTTCTCTGCTCAAAAAAGTATGTTTTCACATCAGCTATGTTTCAATACATAACATTCAAAAGGATTTTATGTTCTATTTTGGAGTATTCTTTGCCTCCGTTATATTTTGTTTAATTTCATTTATATGCTGGGTGATTTACAAAGAGTAAGAGTGGGTATTTAAAATATGAAAAACTATAAAAATAGGAAGTATCAGGTTGTTATATTAGAAAAAAAACACAACATACACGTATGTTTCTATGAATGCATATAGATTTTTATTTCATTTTTATTTTATCCTACAGTAATGATATTCAAAACAAAGGTGAAATTAAGCCAGGGATGCTTGCATGAAAATGGTTGATTCTTGGAGGCTTGACATGTTATTAACCATGGCTTGAAGAAACATTATTTGAAATGAAATAGATAATCTATAAATTCCACAAAAATGTACATCAAGATGAATGTGATATTGCCTTTAATGAGGGTGATTGGATTATCCCCTGTCTTGGATAATCTATTAATTCAAGGATTTACTTTATGTGATTTAATTCCATAATGAAAATTTCTATAGTATGCTTGGAGAATCTCGGAGAGATTGCTTGGTCCTCGCATGGGAAAATACCAGATATCAAATAAAGTGGAAAGTTTAAAAAAAACCTATTGAAGCAGGCAATAACAGGCTGTTTCTGCATTGTTATAGGTGTAGATATAAAGAGGCTGGCCTTTTATAGAGGGAAAATCATAAAAAAGCAATGAGCAAATAAGCATGGCTTAAGCCCATATAAAGGTACAGATTTACAAAAATGGGTAAGGCAATCACCTCCCTAATTCAAATGAAAATAAAAGGAGGGGGTGATATCTTCAGATTTGCAAAACTCTTTTACTGTGGTCATTCTGATGGAAGTAATTTTAGGCCTTCGTGGTGTCTGTTTCGTGATCCAGTCTACCTTTTACGGCTGCATTAGCCAAGTACATGAAATTATGATACGTGGGGCTCAGCCCAAAGGAAACTTGTGTTATGGCACAAATTTTGAATTTCAAATTTGTGGTACTGTGAAAATACTACTGTGAAAATAAATCCTTGTAATGTTTTAACCATATGATTTTACATGTCTAGAATTCTAGTTTTTCTATTAAACTTCACCTTAAAATTTATTTCTCTTTTGCACAGATGATGTTAAAGTATCTATAAATGATTTTATTATCAAAGCAACTGCATTGACCCTGAAAGTAAGTAAATTAGTCCTGCAAAATATACACACCTGATTCCACCTTAATGATTTCTTAAACCTGTATTTTTTGTTCCAGACCAGGAAAAGATGTTTCTTAAAGATGTTGTAACAGATAGAGTGAATGTTTAATGTATCTTTAAACAACTCCTACCTTGGAGAAAAATTGCACAAAATATGTTAATCATTACATCTGTACGGCTTTTCTTTTTTGTGCATTTACCATTACCTTACAAATTTGTTTTCAACAATACTTTATAAAATACCATGTGATTTGAGATTATTGTTGTAATTCCTCCTATTAAATATTATGGATCATGGACACGGATATTGGTGATTGCTGGCACCATGTTCTCTTTTCTACAATGTCCTTCAAGTAATGGCAAGTTTAAGCTAAATATATTTTTTATTTTATTGTTTTCCAACTATTGTACTGTATAATATCTAGCTACATAGGTTTATATCCTTGGTGCAATGAATATTGTTTCTACTGATAAGGGATATAGTCTCCTACAGAAAGAACAAATATTCCTTCCAAAATTTTATTTTAATTTCAGTTAATATTCTAGGATTTCCAAGTCATTACATATATATATTTGATATTCGCTTGTATCTAAATTCAGTTCAAGATGCAATGTGTTTAGTTGGCCTTTATGGAGAAAATAAGCAAAATCCTTAAAATGCGAAGATTTGTTTCCATAAGTATAATAAAGAAAACTTAATACTCACTTTCCACTAATTCCTATTTTTTCTAATCAATCAATATTGATTTTTATAGTGTATTTTAGAATTCCTTAGTCCATAAGGATCCTTCAGTAGTGTACCATTTGTGTTGAATTTGATCTTTTATGAGGATAGTAGAAAATACTATTTATAAGTGCTAAGATACAAGATACAATCATAAGATGAAATATAATGTTTCAACTTCAAACGTTGCAGGACTTTTCAAATAGTTCTGTGGGGGTTTGCTTGCTTTTTTCACAGCTACTCATAGACTGTAAAAATCAATTCTGAATATTGTGAGAGACTTCTATGCGGCATACATGGTGTGAAAAATTGCAACCAAAAGGAGAAATTGGCAGTGACAGTTTGTCAGTGCATACATTGGTGTGATTAATTGGTGTGTGGCTCTCATTGAATCAGTGTGGGCTAACGCTTATTAGGAGAATACTACAAATTGAATTGAAGTGTCAGATCTGCTGTTTTTAAAATTAGCTGTCTATTTCACTATTTTAGTGAAAGCTCAGAATATTAAAGGGGAAAAACCTTTTTCAAAACCCAAACTGAATTTAAAAATGTTAAGAGTTGATTTCTGAAATTAAGGTTTCAAATAAGACAAATAATAATAATAATAATAACCTTTATTGTCATTGTACATACATACAACAGAATCTAATTGGTTGTCCTTTCAATATGGTTATGTGAGTCCCCCCACTCCTTTTTAATTTTTTACAATTTTTAGCTCTTTTCTCTTCCCTGATTTAAATGGGAACAGAAATCCTATAAACCTTCTATTATGTTTTTGGACGGAATGTCAAAGTTCTTTACTAGCAAGGAACAAAATGAGAGTTGCCCTCCAACAAGTTTGAATTCTGTTAATAATATGGAGATCCGCACCCTCACCACTATCCAGACCTTCCGCGCAGCCCTCAAGATCTGGCTCTCCCAGCAGGCCTGGGGATAGGCTCCTAATTACCCGCCTGAGTGTTTGACTGCTGAATGAAAGTTGGGTTTTTATTACTTTTCTGTTGTTCACATATTGTTTTGTTTTGACCTTGCACCTCCCCTTCCTTGTGGTTGTAAGCCGCCCTGAGTCCCCTCAGGGAAAAGGGCGGCATATAAATCCCAATAAATACCTTAAAATACCTTAAATACCTTAAATAAATAACCCAGAAACTGAATAAACCCATCTATTGTATGGTTGCCTGCAGCTGTAATTGCCTGTGACCATAATTTGCATTCATCTTTTGTGACAAAATTAATATACACTAATAAGATAAGTCTATTTTTAGAGTCATTTGGCCTTTTTCTTGCTATTATTAACGTGATCTTGCTTAAGGCAAATCATTTCCCATATGTTATTGTTTCTATCACACAATTCTAAAAGGCTTTTAAAAACTTGGTTTCAATGCTATTTTTAACATCTGTGCCTCCCTCTGTTTCTTCCAGCAAATGCCAGATGTGAACGTGACCTGGAATGGAGAAGGCCCCCAGCAGCTGCAATCGATAGACATTTCTATAGTTACGGCAACAGACCAAGGTTTTATTACACCTATCATAAAGGATGCTGCATCCAAGGGAATTCAGGAAATTGCTGCTTCTGCAGAGGTGTGTCTTCAAATACCCAGGCCTCTCTTAGACCAAAAATTGAATTATATGGTTTCTAAGAAAACATCCGCTGTTCCTTTGATTATGTCTTCTTGGCTGGCTTTAAGAAAGAGGACAAGATTGTTTTACAAAGATCACAAATCTTGAATAGAAGGCAATAACCTCTGTATACTGTTGTGGAATAGTAACCTATCGATAACTCATTTATGATTCAGGGGGCATTGATCTAGTGCATCTTAGTACATGGATATTAGAGACTATAAATAGCCCAATCGTCTCTAAACCATCTGAACCTCTCTCCCTGTTTGTTATCTCTGCCATCCATTTTGATATTTTTATTTTAGGATTATCTAGACATCCTATATTGTCAAATATTCGCATAATAAGTTCATTACCATTGTATTTAAAATTAATAAGATTCATTTTCTGAATATAGATATGACTATTCCTTTTAATATTCTGTGAGATATTTTAGCAGATTTTCCTAAAACTTATAATCAAGGATGGAGATTCTCAGTCATCTAAGCCATGGTTGTTCGAAAGGTTCAATGGGCAACTAGACTTTCTTGTTTTCTTTGGAGATGTTTCGCTTCTCATTCAAGAAGCTTCTTCAACTCTGGGGAATGGTGGGCCTGAAGCTTCTTGGATGAGAAGCGAAACATCTTCAAAGAAAAAAAAGAAAGTCCAGTTGCCTCTTGAAAAAAACACCTTTGGGACAACCTAGGAAAACTGGGCTTTGCTTTTTCAAAACACCTATCGGGTTCTTGCTAGGCTGAAGAGCATTTGTAATCTTATGGAATTAAAAATGACAGTGGATACTTTTTGGAAACATATTTTGTGGGATTTGGGGAAACTTCTGTATATTTGCAGATTTCACAAAAGACCTTAGAAGATTTAATATTGAAAAATGGATTAGTCATAATAATTTCCCCCTTTTGAAATGAAACATTGTGAATTGTGGCATTGCATCTTTATACCTCTAATTTCATGATGATAAGACTTATTTGTTTATGGCAGATGGTCAGCAGTCTTTCTTGAGATAAACATCTACAATACAATAGCAGAGTTGGAAGGGACCTTGGAGATCTTCTAGTCCAACCTCCTGCCTAGGCAGGAAACCCTA